ACTGATCCCCACCCTAGAGGAGCTGGTGGTGGGAGAGGAGGCTGCGTGCCCCCGCCCACTTACTAGAGGTTGTGAGACTGGAGCAGTTTGCAGTGGTCCAACAGGTCGGTGAGATGAGCCACAAACCACCAGTTGCTCAGGGCGATGCTGTGGGTCAGACACAAGGCCAAGAAGGGAGTCAGGGGAGGCCACATCTGCATGAGCAGGAACCTCGTGTGTGCTGAGGGAGTGAGTGGGCGAGAAGAAGCAAGACCTTGGCCTCCCACAACAGCCGCTGCCACCCAGACTTTTCACATTCACGGCAAGACAGAGAAGCCAGCTAGGAGGCCGCAGGGACTCCGGAGTTCAGAGGTCCAAGAGTCCTTGAGCAGGAGACTGAGAATGGCCCAGGCCACACAGAAATGCCACCCAAACGGAACCAACGTCACCACAGCTCTGAGCTCTCCCCGAGAGGAGCGAACAGCCTGCACGGCTGGAAGGCAGCGGCCTCTGGAGGTGGTAACCGAGCGCTCTGCAAGGCCAGCTCAGTCTCTGCAAAGCCAGCCAAGTCTCAACAGCACAGAGTTTGGATTTTCACACACGGATAATGGAGAAGTCTGAGAGCGCAGCACCCAATGGAGCAGGGAAACAGCCGCGGTTCAAAAGGGGAGGAAGGTGAAACCGACACTGTGGAGCGGCGTCTGCTGGCAATAAAGGAGAACCCTGTGGAGGCAGAGCGGCTGCGGTGAGGGCAATCCCCCTGCATGGGAGGTCCTGGGCTGGGCCTGCTGTCACCCCTTGCCCGCCTCTGTGCCCCACCTGTGAGGGGCCCTGCAGTAACTGCTGCCCCGCGGCTCCCTGTGACCAGCCAGACTCCGGTGGCTGTGCAGCTGCTCTTTGCCGATGGGGCACACACTGCTGCACCTGGTATCCAAGGTTACAGGCTGGGCCAGAGCACTGGCCAGAAGATTCTAGATTAGGCAGAACATTAAACTAGACCTCTTGATTTCTGAAGGAAGACCTTTCCTTTTAGTTCAATAAGTTTTGAGGACTTTAAGGATACCAGAACTGCACTCCGGGTCCCTATTTCCTTTTGCCGGACAGCAAGGAACTCACCCCTCTTCAGAGGAAGCGGAAACCCGAGGGGAGAGTTCCTGCTCTCAGGGAAATGAGGAAAGCATGGCTAAACGTGCCGAACGGCACAGGCGTGGCCCTTCAGCTCGGCTGACTGACTGGGGCCGCCATGGGCGTATCTGCTCTGCTTCAGGACCCCGGGCTGCCCTTCCTGTCCCTGCAAGTCTGGCAGAGTTGACATGGGGGTCATCAGGTCCCACTGAGACACGTCCTTTCAAGCACCTTTAAAAAAGATACCCCGCCTTCACCTTTCATGAGGCAGATTCACGAGCCCAGTGAACATCACACCCAAGCAGCAAGGCTTCCCCTAACACCAGCCCATGGGTCCAACCCAGAGACAGACTCCCTGCCAGCCCCGCACCTCCCCTACCAACCCCAGGAACAGTGCCAGGGTCTGACTGGTACAACCCATGAGGAAGCGAGCGCTCCCAGAACCCAAATGTCAGTCCTTCACCATTCAGGAGGGCGCGGGTGTGACCGCTACTTTTGTCTCTGAAGTCGGTCCCGGCCTTCAAGTGCCTGGGATGGGGTCTTAGGATTTGCTTTTCTGCCTCCTTCAGAAAGGGATAGGAGGTACATTCCTGATCAGAAAAATCCAAACCTCAAGATCCACAGCTAACAGAAATACCTCCAACCCTTCCTGCCAGCGAGGGCAGAGGGCGCCTAACTTGCGGGGGGTACTGTGCGCGCCGCCCTGCCATCTCTGACTGGCCCAAGAGTGAGGACACTGCCTGTGGGACTCAGAAAAGCTCCGCCCCACGGGCACAGCTCCATCTTTTCCTTCTCCTGTCACTGAAAGCCACAGGGCGCTGTTCCCTCCTCCTGCCTGTTCTGCTCAAGTCTGTTCTATCCCCTTACTTAGGAAGCCCTGGTGGAAACACCCGCTGTAGCAGATGGCGTATTCAGAAATACCCACCACTTAGAACTGCAGGCAGAGACGCCAGCAAAGCCAGGTGGGGAGGTGTGTTTCTCTGTACATTATTCTCACTGACTCCTCCACAGACACCCTGCAGCCCCGCCATTCGGGAGTTAACAGGCCCGTGAAAATAATACTGACACAAAACTCGTTTTTCTTTCCTCACATCTAGTGGCATTTTCTCGATGCCCTGGCTTTTTTGGGCTGAATCAGGAAGAGCAGGTAGCAGAGGGGAACCAAATCTCCTAAAAACAAGGTAGTCGAGGTCAGTGAAATGATACGTGGACAAGGCCACCTGACGCTCGAGCCAAATCTCTCCCCTTCAGGGCCATCTTCAGTGGAACGCCCACTCGTCCAGGCTGCACAAAAAGGAGTGAATTCTTTCTGACGACTGTATACGGACATTTCTGGAAAGCCTCACTTTTGACTCCTGTTTGCCACTCCCTTTCCTGCCTTGTGGCTTTAGAACTCTCCGACGACGGCCCCCTTTTGGAGCGAGGGCTGGAGTGTGGAGTACCTACTCTGAAAATACCCGTCACCGGCCCCGTGACTCACGAGCGTGACTGCGGGGAGGTGCTGTGCCCTAAGGTAGCTGTGTGTCCATCAGCTTCCAAGAAACAGGCCTGCTTGCCTTTTCTAGATTTTTAAAATCAAGGTCATTTCCTGCAACGCGACTTTAAATAAACATTCCTGACACATGAATAGTTATAAATACAGTAGCCCTCCAGCCTCAGGAAGGTCCCCCCTCGTCCAGAGGAGCAGGTCTACAGGAAGGGTGGGACACCAGCAAGAAGGAACAGGACATGGGGCAGGGGTCCTACCTGCACTCCTTGATCACTTGGTGGATGTCAAACTCAAAGGCCGCCATCAAGATGTTGTCCAGGGGCTCTGGGCTGCTATCCCCTCCCAGAAACAGGTCCAGGCTGGACTGTGGAAAGGTGACGACCCACTCAGTCCCCAGGATGGAAGCACAGACTCCAGGGGGCAGGCAGGGCTGCTGTGCAGGAACCCTGGAGAAGGGTGACGGGTCCTTCAAAAAGGGCCCAAGGAAAGCCCCTTCCTGTTCTGCCACTCGTGGAAAATGACCCACAGGGGACCAGGCCTCTGAGACCCACCCCTCAGCGGAGCTCAGACTCACCTGTGCATAGAAGTGCAGCTCAGTGGGCTTCACCGTGGGGTGGGAGTACAGGAGCCGAGTCACCAGGAAATGGTACCAGTTACTCAGCAGCTCCTTCTGCCCCAGCAAGGCTTCTTCATCTCCCAGCATGATCTGAGGGGAGAGTTCCCCTTAGCCCCGGGGGGATGGGAGCTCAGCTCCATCCTTGTCTCAGGGCGCCTTCTAGGTCACTCTCCCCCTCCTCCTTCAGAGTGGCTAATAGGCAGGTCTCAACGAGCTGTCCTTCCCAGCAGGACCAAGCTCTGCCATGGCTGTGCTGGATGCCAGGGCCGCTGGGGCCCCCACCCCGCTGCTCCCACAGACCTTACAGAGGGTCTCCAGGTGCGGGCTGGAGGCGAACGTGCCATCCTGGAGGTGCCGCTCACACTCCTCGTGCCAGTGCTGCCACTTCAGCTCCAGCTCCGTCAAGGTCTGTGTGTTCCCAGGCTATGGGGAGACAGGCCGTGGATGTCACAGCCGCACGACCCTCTGTGTTTCCTGGAGGACCCATCTCCCGGGACTACTTACGCTAAGAATGGGCATCGTCCTCATTAGGTCCCCCAGGACTTTACACGTGCCCGCTGAGGCGGGGCTGGCGTCGGCCTCCTTGGAAAGCATCTGTCGGGCCTCATCCAGCTGGCCCTGCAGCACCAAGATGGTCACCTGGGAAGACATCCAAGACCACATGCACTCATGGGAGACCAGAGGCCCAGCCCTGCAAAGGAGGGCAGGCCTGTCCCCTCGAGCCACACTGTGGCTTTCTAACTCCTCAGACAGACAGATTCCTGTCCCGTGACCCCATCACCTTGAAACAGCCCCCATGCTTGTTTACATCCTGTCCCATTCCCAGCCCAGTGGGATGTCTGCACGTCTTCTCTTCCTCAGACCTACAAGGAGTCTCCAGAGCATGACTCCTGGCAAGGTAACTTAGTCCTACACTCTCCTGCGGAGCAGGGAAGAAGACACCTAAAAGCATCTCCGCAGCCACAGACTCAAAAAGCCACGCAGGCTCTGCAGGTAACGCGCAGCCGCCCGAGAGCAAAGGGAAAGCAGAAGTAAGGTGGCAGGGAGGGTGGCCCGGCCCACACGTGGCTCTTACCAAGTTCCAGAAGCGCTCATGTTTGCTTGGATTCTCACTGCCCAGAACCTCTGCTGACAAAATGTCCACCTCCCACACGTGCAGACGGACCCAGTCAAGGAGGTGAAGGAGGAGGGGACCAGCTGGAAGGAGAGATGCTCATCATACACCACAACCTCAGCTTCGTTTGCAGCAAATCCCGCTCCTCACGTTAGACAGGGATGCAAGGCAGCCACACTAGTACGTGGTTTCTCTCTCATAAGTGGGCACACAGCTCTGAATCAAGGACTGGGCTAGGAGAAGGCAAGCTGACTTTTACTAAAACACCCCTTTGTGCTGGGCGACCCCGCCTCTCACTGAACATGGGAAGGGTCAAACCAAAGACCCAGACCCCACACTGCACGGCCAGATTCTCATCATCACGCGACAGCCGATGGCTGTTTAAGTGATGGCCAGGAGCTAGCTATACAGCGATGGTGAAACACAGTGACAGCCCAAGCCCTCCAAATCTACTGGAGGAGGCAGGCATACTTGGAGAGCATCTGCCAACTAATTTTTTTTTTTTTTTTTAACAGCTACATTTATCGTCTCACAGTTTCAGTGGGTCAGGAATCTGAGCCTGGCTCAGCCTGGTCTAACAACTAATTTTAATTTCAAGTTGTTCAATGCTTCAGCGGGAGTATCACTCAAATGCTATGGCTGCAAAGAAATTAGCATACATCTATGGACAGCAGCAAACCCAGATCGTTCAGAGAAACGCAGAGACGCCCCCAGCACCTCCACAGAGAGCCCGATGAAGCCCAGGCACAGTACTGACCACAGCACAGCTCACAGTCAATGGAAGGATCCAAGTGGACAGAGGGAGTGCGAGGCTCTGCCTGCCCCAATCACCAGCAACAGAATTCTCAGAGCCACTCTGCCGCCCGCCATCGAGCCCCTCCTCACATCCCTGAAACATTCTGAACCTTGACCAGCCACAATGTAACACTCCCACCCCTTTCACACACCAGTTTAATGTTTGTCTCCTCGGTGCTCTTCAGAGGTAGTCAGCCTAACACTTTAGGCTTCTAGAAGGTACTCTCTCTGAGTCTTTTTGCAGAATCTGACCAAATGCAAGGCTTTTTTGGGTGTTTAGTAATGTTTTCTGATGGTTATGTTGATGAAAATCGCTGGAAAGAGCATTCTACCCACCAAAACACCCATCCCAATACACAGGAGAGACAAGGAGGAAGGAACAGAGGGCAGCCTTTGAGGTGACAGAATTACTTCATGCTCACCTGGAGCGACTTCAATAAAAAGGATCTCACAGAGATTCCAAATGAGCTCCACTGCCGACAAAATGGAGACCTACGGAAGAATCAGAGACAAGGTTTTCGTTGACAGAAATCCC